CTGCTGCTAGGCTTCAGGGATCGTCGACTTTCACTAGTCCTGTGTGAGTGGTATGTGGATGATGCCCCAGAGGTCTTCTGAGACATAAAGTGGGCCACCAAGATACCACAAACACATCAATATGTCTATTCGCCTATCTTCTGCGGACCGCGGCGAGTGATAGACATCACCCCAGCTCAACGATAATACCAGATGACTCGCTAGAAAGAAGGAGGTCTGTGCAACCCGAACACATAACGTCATGTGACGTTGAACAGTGAGCACACATGCGCATGTTACTCGGGCCGACGGATGCTGGAGGATCTGCTAATGCTGAGAGATCTGATGATGCTGGGGATCTGATGCAGGAGGATCTGATGTCGGATCCTGCCGTCAAACTGTGGCTCGGGAGACCAGCGCCACTGGCAGAGGCTCCGACACGGCCATGGTCGTCATCACGCCCCCAGCCGGCTTATTTCAAGGATCGGATATCGGTGAAGCACATTTGTTCACCTGCCCACTGTTCGGGCAGCGCTGTGGGCTCTCTAGAGTCTCGCAGCGTTTCCGTTATAGACCACCATCACAGACCGTTTGGGAGATGATCAGGGGTCTCCGTGCGGACCAGATGAGGCTTCTCTCAGCCGAGTTCTCCTTGTGGACCTACAGTGAGTTCTGTTGCTGGCCAACCAGTGACATTCTCCTTTCTAAGCCACCAGCGGGCGGCTCATTCTGAATGCCAGCAGAGGTCCGTCTGCTGGTCAACAGGGGCCTTCAGAGCATGGCATGGAAAAGCCCCGGACGTGACTCCTCTGTCCACTGCTCCTTCCGGAGCATTCCACTTCTCCCTCTCCTTTCAGGCCGGGTTGACCCCTTCACGACACGCGTGAACGGGGCTCCAGACCTGGCTCAGAAGGGGCCCTTCCAAGCTGAGGACGGCTTCAGTGCCGTTGGTTCACCCCCCCCCCCCCCCAACCCCCCCCCCCCCCGCTGTGCACACTATTGAGCCGGAGGTCAGACCTTGGCACGAGGGCTCAGTAATGACCCCGCGGAGTGGCACGTCCAGGGAGATACGAGCACTTCCTGGTCCGCTGACAGGTCCATTAGCGGTGGGCCGCGGCTCTGACGGTGGCCTACGGTGTGCGGGGCGCTCTCGGGATCGACCGGTCCACCAGCACTGACAGCGCCAGCTGTGAAATCACATGCCACGCATGGGTGGAGCCGCGGCAGGCTCCAGGAGTGTATTACTTTTTCGGCTTGACCAGACGGCTTTTGTTCTGCTCCGTCTGTTTCCGTCTGCCCCGTCTGTTTCTGTCAAAGTGTAGACGCTCTGTTCGTCTTTCGTGTTGAAATTATTTGGGAGGGGAACCCAGCAGAGGACCAGTGTTGTCCTTTTCTCGGACAACAGTATGGCGACGGCATGCAAGCCGGCATTCAGCGCCCTTCGTTTTTGTCTCGCCAAGCTGAGAGTTCTCGCAGACGTGTGCGCGAGGACCGGCGCGCTGGATTCATACAGATAGGCGGTCAGCCGACGTTCACGGCACCGTGCCTCCCGACGCGTCAGTGCCGTGGCGTCCACTCGCTGCGTGAGGGGGGCGGTGAATCGGTGTACCGTGGACTCGGTCGCAGCCATGATGGCTAACTGCTGTCTCACGTTTAACTTCCCCCGAGTTCAGTTTGTGCCCGCAGTTTGTCTATGTTTTGGTACTGAATGGGTACTTACCATCAACAAGCGAAAAGTGAATAACGCGTGAGGTCGGTTGCGATCCCCTCGGGTCACGTCACCAACCTGCGGGGCGTCCTGCCGCGTGCTGTGGCCAGTTGGCTGGTCAGAGCGGTGGCGTCCCGCCGGCTCCCGGGGGCTCCATAACGTGGCCGCGGCCGCTGAATATTGCAGCGGCCCGACGGCCCGAGACAGATGGTCGCAGCACGAAGGGGCATTACCGTCGGCGCCACCGGCCTGGCCACGCCTCTGTCGGGAGTGGCGGGGCGCGACAGACGTCCGCTGACGCACTGAAGGCACTCCGCCGGGACCGCCGGCGGCTCTCACGTGCCGCAGGAGCATCCCACTGCGGTGATCTGGACCCTTGTCATGTCCGGACACGCGGAGACAAAGATGTAGCCGCGGCACGCCGTTCCCGAGCCGGTTAGACAGCGCCACCAGTGCGCGATGCGGTGGCGAGGAAGCTTCTGAAGAGATAGGGCGGTGTGTCGGGGTTGAGTTAGCGGTGGGGGTGGCGGTGACGGCGGCGTTGGTGGTAGGAGTGCAGAGGGGGCCGGTAGGCAGCAAACGATATGCCGTTTTACCACGCCTTCGCTCCATCCAATACTTACGGCCAACGCCATCCATGCTTGCTGAAGTCGGATCGTTTGTCGTTTGTCGTTTGTCGTTTATCGTTTGTCTGGACTGGTGCTAGGCTTGCGGATGCTTCAGGCAACTACCCGCGACGTCCCGCGGACGTGTACGTGAGCAGTCTTAGTCGATGGTGCTCCGCTGTGGCCTGAACGTCGTCCAAACTGCGAAGTCGGCGCGGTCGCGGTCAGTCGGCGGAGCTGGTCTGAACGCTTGCCCATTTGCGGGATCAGCGGTCCCAGTCTAGTTTGAACGTTTGTTCGTTTGCATTTCCACCTGCGCGAAATCAGGACCATTCAATAGATCAAGACGCCTTGTAAGTTGTGTGCCGTGGTACACGGTGATAAAAGACGCGAGGTTTATCAATTGCTATTATGCAGGTAATACAAACATCGCAGCCACCGAGCCAAATATATATATATATATATATATATATATATATGTTTGTATAGAGTGTAGATTTACATAGTGTTTGTGTAGTTACCACCTGCACCGGAGGACGTGCGGATCGATCTGAGAAATGTGTTTAAGCTAGCAAGTCCGTCGTTGATGATATTGTATTACGCAGAGGTTCATTAACAACCGGTTGCGCGCTAATTGACAACTCGAATCGCTCGAGTTTCCTGGCTCCAGGTCTGGTCAGGGTGAGGCCAGGTCATGTCAGCCGCCGGAAGCAACTATCTTGTGACGGTCCAAGTTCAGGGAACTTCCTATCAAAGTATATTAGAAAAGCTCGAATATCAGGGTGAGAAATTCTTACACTGAACTAGGTTGCATACCAGCATGCTTTCAATGTATGCACGCTTCCAATCTTTTTTTCGGTTTCGGCCCACATCGTGTCTTGTTCGAGGCAGCCTAGAAATAGTAGTGACAGACCGTTTCGGGACTGTTACTACCGTACTAATTTGACAATGAGGGCATTCTATTTCCAGACATTGCGAAACGCATCGCAGTTCAACGTTTTACGAAGTGCGGACAACCGCACCGGCCATGTCAGCGCTCCCGGGTCACGGCATATCTAGGATCGTCCTCCTTCCCGCAACTAGGAGCCAAGGGTGCCTCTAGAATCAGATGCTAGGTGGGGAGTAAATTCGCGTACATCGCGCATTTTGCTACAAGTCTTGATTTGCCAGACCGCCAAGATCTCAAGCGATTCTTAAAAACGCTGCGACATGGAGGAGTACAAGTCTTGCGGGAGACAGTACTCCGCCAACCGCACACGCCGACCTTCCGCTTCTGCCGATACCATTGAAGGTGCTCTGCCCCGTCAGAGCGCTGGTGGCGTGTCGCCGCAGCACCCGCAGTCCATACGTGGGCCCGGCTCCCAGCCACGGCGTGCAATCCGCGCATTCTGTATCGCCCATGTTCATGAATGGCAAGTGCATAACTCGTTCGTAATGCACTGTTTCAGGATAATCGCATCCGACCGGAGAGCACGCGCGCGGATGCCGTCAGATGGGCGCGGGCCGCGGCGGGGACCGCGCTTCTCCCCGCGGAATCGCGCGGAGCTGACCAGTGCTCCCACAGACAGTAGTTTGACAGCGCGGAGACCATGCCGGCCCGCTCCGAACTCATCATCGAAGTTCGGGTGAGACTCGTCCGTCCCGCGGCCTCGACTGCATCACAACTCTCTAGCCGTGTTGTTACATATTAACTGGGTGCGTTGACCGTAATAAAAAAGGCCTTGGCTGACAAAACGGCTGAAAATGGTTTATTCCTCCATTATCTGGACCAGGACACAATCCATGGCTTTTATCGCGATAGTCCCCTGGACGACGAAATTTGGTAGGCGACCGCAAATGCATGCTGAACGCAACGCGAAATGCTGAAGACATCGAACAAATGCACCATGACCTCTGTTCCGACAACTGTCACCAGCCGTGGCGTATCTCAGGTGGCATGAATGGAGTGGAGCAACAGAGGATGACACCTGGCACTCACGTTGTGTTTGTTACCTGTATCACTTTGCCATCTCGTGCTAGGCTTATGAACAACCCACCGAAGACGCTTGCGAGTTTCTCTAGAGCTTGCACGATTTTGTTCCATCCGGGTACAGCTGCAGAAGCATGAATCAGCTGTCTGCTGATCGCGGAAACTTTGCTCACAACTTGGTTCCAGTGTTGCAGTTCTACTGAGTTAGAGTGCATGTGTCTCCTCTCCGCCTAAGGATCTCCCAAACTTCGAAGTTAACTAAAGCGCGATCATTGAATAGTTCAGCCTAGAGCCGGCCTCTTCTTGATTGCGCGCGGGCACCGCTCGCCAGCTGAACACCGGTGCGGGTGACGTCAGAGCCCGTCGCGCAGCCAGTCCTCACGTCGGCCGCGCGCCAACGAGGATGCGGCAGTCGAACGCGACTCGTGCCCAGATGAAAGATACCATAACGGATGATGAAAAACATTGGTATCAAAGAAAGGGGGAGAGATCGCATAAGGTCACACTCCGGAGAGAGGTTTTCGGATATCCCTAGTCAGACGAGCATGGTCTATTCTTGAAAGCAGCCGTCCTGGGTTCCTCATATGATATGGTACACTACAATGACATGAGACATTGGTTCCATTGTGACAGACGCAGGAGCGTACCATCATGCCCAAGCAGCACAAACAATACAATTCAAACCGAGGCGCGTGGAAAGACCAATCTCAGTTTTGTCTTTCTTCTTGGCGACACCCGGTCATTTCTTCTTCGTTTTCCTCTTCTTCTCCGGCGGCTTGCTGGATGAATCACTCGAACTGCTTGAGCTAGAGCTGGAGCTGGAGCTGTCCGAGTCGTCTGATGAGCTGGAGTCTCCGCTGGAGCTGGAGCTGTCCGAGTCAGAGTCGTCGGACGAGTCGGAGCTGTCTGTGTCGGAGTGGCCGGCCTTCTTGGCCCGCCACCAGTGCCTGCCTGAAACACACACCGCCGGCGTTAGCGGCGACAATGACACAGGCAGCAGGCCCGGGTGCCGGGACCCATGCGCCGACACTGCACCAGGACGCTCATGCAGCGGCCAGGCACCACCCCAGCTCCGGGGTGTCGACCGGCGATTAGCGCAGCGCGCGGCCCGCGGTAATCAGACAGCCGCGCGGCCCAATACACTGCCGGAGTGGCTCGAGGCCGCCGATGGCCGGGGTCCATCTATCGAACACCCACCAGACTTCTACAAACTTAGATTGAAGTTTCAGGAGCGTTTGCTGATTTGTCTGCAATGAATGCATGGAGAAAAAGCGTGGCACAACAACTGCACCCACCACCATCCAAAAGTTGTGTTGACAAGAAAAATATGTTGTTTTTTTATTCACTCCTGAAATCCGCAGCACCAACGAGGACTCAGGCGTCATGTCAGAAAAAAAGATAAGCGCTTGCTTCAGTCCTTGCCTCTACGTGGATTATGTGGAAAAGCCGCAGATCAAACGCTACGGCGTTTTACTCTCCCGCACCATCTGTCAAAACGAAGGCTCGGACCAAGACGAAATATTCCACTGAAGGAAACGACCTGATTCAACTATGTATATATAACCCAACCATCCTCAACTGAAGGATACAGCAAAATAATATTTGCAGCTCTCATGGTCACCATTACAAGGTTTTACATATTGCAGTGGCAGACAGCAACACTTTTAAGCTGTATTATCATTGCATAACGGTTTGTAACGCGGTGGCCGAAATCGAATGTTGTAAAACTGAACGGTCACAGCATTATTGATGTAACAAACTAATAGTGGTCGATCTGGAGGATTTTTCGCACTTGTTTTACTTGCAAAAAAATGTCGTGCACGAGTCACGCCAAACCGTTGCACAATACATGGCGATCGTGACGAAATCGCCGGGGGCGTCCGGCCCAATGGTTTTTTGGTAGCATCTCTGCAACCATTAGACATTAAATTGAAATAGCCACATCTTGGGAAATCACGATGTTGCCACGGCGTTGCGTTTCTCTTTAAATGAAGCTTCTGACAAAAGTTTTTACTGACCAATTACGTGCAACGTGATGAAATTGGCGCGGCTTGCATTCAAATCCGCGACTTTTCGGGCCGGAGACGTATTATGTGCTTTCCTACAGACAATAATTCACAATACGTCGCCTGGAGCAGAATATTGGGGTGGAAACACTGGCGGATGGCCAATCCAAGTCATTATGGCGAAAGTTGGCAGTCTGGTGCGTCCCTACTGATCGAGTGACTCACGCAGCGGAAGGCACTATGCACAAGCAATGAAATGATTGGTTTCGTGAAGTAAATGTGACTGTGAAATACGCCCTGTATACGCTCGCTAAGACGGGGGCCGCTTCGGCATTGGCTAGTAACGTGCACGTTCGACTGCAGGCCCTTTTATGCGCTTTCACGGTCGTGAACGTATGTCGGCCCCACTACCACCAAGCACATAAGTATTGCGCGACGTAATAGAAAATACGAAAGGACAGCGTGCCGTATAACCACCAACGCGTACTTACATCTTCTCGGACTTGGTCTTTTCCTTCATTCTCTTTGAGCTTCTTCTTGAGCTGCTGCGTTCTGGAGCTTCGGTGCACGTACTTGCGTTTGCCTGTGCACTCGTACGTCCAGTGACCCCACATTCAGACACTTCTGGGCAAGCCACGCCCTCCGCCGACGGCGGCCTGAAATGGCGGACCAGGCGTGCCTGAGCGACCTCTTGTTGGCGCACCGACAACGACCCTGACCGAAGCCCGCTGCCCAGCGGCGTAGCGAGCAGATCCTGTACCAGTGCAGCGGGAAGCGACACAACCGGCTGTGGATGCAAAACCACCACAGTAGAGTGTCCAGAATAGCATGGCCTGTGTACATTTAAGCCTGCTTTGGGCGGCAGTGGTACGTTGGTACAAGCACACAGAACAAATATGGTTCGGAAGTCAAAAACCAATCAGAGCTGGTTACTTCCCCCCCCCCCCCCCACCTCCCCCCCCCCATCAGCAATCAGTGCCCGCTACTTCCTTTCTATCAAGATCTACTAAACTGGTTCTCCGAATAATGCGTTAGGCAGGACACTGAGAAGCGTCTCCCGTTACTGACAGACGAACGCCATCGTCCATCGGTGTCATGCGCTGCGTTACGCTCCCAAGATTTAGATCCAACAGCCTCAGTAACATGGGCATCGTAACCATGACATTAAAACACTGATCATGTTCAGTCCAGTCTAAAGGCATCGCCCCGCCAATAGTCTTATAGTCATGCCCAGGGCAGCAAGGTGTTAGATGGCACACCTGAACACCGAACACCCTAAAGATTAAGAGTTACGATTGGCGGCCACATCGAAAACATCACTGTTACCCCGCACCTAGGCATGTATGCAGGTCGTCAACAAACCAAATTAAATGCAGTTGCAGCGAACTATACAGCCACATTCATGTTCAGTGCGCAAAGGCGGCCCAGCTCAACAAAGCCCCCGAAACAAGTCCCCGAACGTGGTACGCCACGGGGTACCGGACCCCGGCTCGACACGCTGAGACGCCGACGCCGCGAGCGGGCCTTCCCGATCCGGCCTGCCCTCCCAGCGCCGGCGCCGCGGCTCGCCGGCCTTAGCCGGCCAGCGGCGACTAATCAAGAGTGGCGCCTGTGCTCCGGGAACGCGGATCGCGTGGGTGCCGGGCGGGGCGCCTGCAGCACGTCATTGTCTGCGTCATTGGGCAGAGCCGGGGCACGACAGGCTGAGCCTCCGCTGACATCGGCAACAGGCGCGGATTTGCTTGAGGCCAGAATGACGCGCGCCGGGACATTCATTCCGTTGACAAGGGTAGTCGAACAGTGAGTCAATGGGAAAAAACCTAGGCGTGACATATGCACAAGTCTGCAAACCTTCCGCCAGCCTGCGTACAGCACAGCACAGCGCGATACAAAAGTACAGGAGTCAACATCCGATACTCCCATACGCTGTTCACGCAGATGGCGTGAAGGGCAGCATGCCATGAGTCACGACAGCAAGACTCAAGGAATACCGATCACTTGATCACAGACTTCGATGGGAGCTTCTAGGTGACACGAAATTACCAACAGTAGTGCCAAACAAGATGACAGTGAAGGCTGCATCATTTTATCATTTTTGACTAGGATATTTTCAGTGTGAAATACTGTGGCGACACAATATCGCTTGATTAATTGATATCAAACGACCTGGTCTGAACCAGCCATGCGGTCTTAGACAGGATGAGTTTCTGGCATAGATCACATGTTGTAAAACTGGTCACAAGGTCCACAAAATCCAGTGAACTTGTTCAATAACAGGTGCATCAACAGCCTGTTGTAAACTATACCATAGTTTAATTGGCATGAGGGTGTTCACAACCGAGTTGAGAGAGCACTGAACATTGCACTATGACACAATCTTCCTCCAGTCGCATTACCACTGCTGTGTGTGGACCTGCCCTTGTGCAAACAGCACTTACACCACATTCACTCAGGAAAGATATATGCACAAGAAGACACAATACATTCCAGATATTCCACCGGCCTGAGCCGTGCTGGAGACCCATGGCTAGTGTGTTCATGCTCTCATTCATGATCACCTTCCTGGTATGTTGTTGCACCAAATGCAGCACAAAAGTTGGAACACCCCAGTGTCATGCAACACGGGGCAATGCACCCTGCACAGAGTGGCACCACCCAGTTTCAGAAACTGGGGTCACACAACTTCACCATCCGAGCTCACACAAGTCCTCCAGTAAACATCATTACAGGACCTCTGTGCTCTACAACCAACCTAGCAAAAAACAGCAAAAACTAGGTGATCAGCACATTGTCCATTGAATGATACTCTTGGGACTTCACCATGGGTGTCCACTTTGCAGTCACTGTAAGCAAAGTTTTCAAGCACAATGACCACCAATAAAATGCTAGCACACTTTAAACAGGTTGCAAAGACCAGGGGATATTGAAGGAAAGAAACTATATGAGTGCAAAATTTTACATCAAAGATTCCATGCAATAACTCGAATATCTTGCATAACTTGCATACCTACCCCTCGTTTGCTGAGAAATCCTCCAGCTCCCATTGGCATTTTTGCCCTCTTTAAGTCAAACAAATATGAAATCAGCTCCCCTTCACCTGCAAAACAAGCATTAAACTAGCATGTTTTATTTGCATATGTACCAACAAACAAATGTGCATGTGTAAATACACATGTGTATGTATATATATATATATATATATATATATATACCTTTATTCACAGTGCAGCCAGAAACATACTGACTGTAATGTTTCAAGCATCATACCATAACAGCTATTATCAGATGAGGGCTTCAGAAAATATGGAGGACTGGCACAACACATTGACAAAAGATCGCTGGGTTCAAACACATTTACATATTTTCAGGGTACCTCACAAGCATGCTACATGTCATTAGCCTGCAAATGTCCCATTGTTTCCACAGCAGAACATGGGGTTTCACACATTGGCCAGTAGTTACATGAGGACAATTAAAGAAAACGTAAAAATACCCAAGCGATAACAAGGCTCAAACCAATGTACAATATTGCGTGCAACACGAGTTCATTTCAAAGACATCCATTTGGAAAAATCCTGGGATCACCACCTTCAAAATTAAGTTCCTCAGCTTGCGTGAGACCAAAAGCTTATACCAGTGAAAGGCCATATAAAGGACACGAAATTATGCTGCTGAAATGGGTCGTGTTGTGTGTGTCCGTGAATGGTGTGTTGTGAAACGGCCTATGTACGCCCAGACTTACACCCTGGGCGATACAAACAGGTGAAACCGTCACGACAACGCACTTCTCAGTAAGATCCCTATTTGACGTCACCAGGAACACTCCTTTAACGCTGAGATGGGCCGCGCGCGTCGTAGTGGCCATGGGAGATCGCGCGCATTATAACACGTTTGGTGGATGGAATGATTCGTAAGGTCAAAGTCAATATGAATGAATGAAAAAACTTGACAGCTATGCACCATTTTGAAGGCATTGCAAGAAGCAAGGCGGGTAGTATAGGACCCAGAAAGGGAGCTTTTCGGGACGATCCAGTGGGTTTTACGCCAAAGAAGTGCTTAACGTGAGGACTTATCTATGACTTTGGAGACGCCAGATGGACTCAAGACTGCACCCTCGGATTATCAGTTTATTTTGTGTATCACAGCTGCCACCCCTGCGGGGTACCTACCCCAAAGCGAATCCATGGAACTTCTGAGCCCCAGTTGGCATTTTGATTGGGCTTCGGTTTGGCAGATCACTCGACAGAACACAATGGTAGCATCGATGTAGCCCATGACGGTGTACCGGAGGGAGTGCGGGCGCATTTCCCACCTTCCTGGCTGAACATCTTTGAGAAGCCGTCGGGTATAGCAGTTTGTAAGGTACCCCAAGCTCTACGGCAGGGGCTCCGGACCCGGAGCCGGCCAGGCACATTCTCGCGGCCCCATCTAACGGGGACAGTCAAGTCAGTGCACACTGAGGCCTAATCATTCACCAGAGCTTGGCCTTGACGGTTGTTAGTTTCATATTGCAAAAGGTACCGCTGGTTTGCTCCACCTTTGCCTGGCAAATACCGGATAAGACTTGCTCGAGCATTAACGAAATGCAGCATAAGTGTGCATCACAACCCACGTCCATAACCTTTCGGCTGTTTATAATGAATGCAGTGGATCAATTAACCACGATATTCCTCGTCTGTCAGTAGGCTCAAGTTATAAGACTGTCGACTGTGCAATGTTATCTCGCTAATGTGGAAGCAGGATCAGATGCACTCCAGCGGGTCCATGGTCACCACCGCCGGTTTCAGCACCCGGAGTGCCGCATGGATGGTGCCAGCATCGAGCTGGAACCTGGAAGCCACGCATCCACCTTGATAGCGTGCTGTTTGAAGGCAGGGGAATGTTCATAATATGCTGGGCGAATGTATAGGTCTTCCGGCAGATGGAGCGTAGTGCAGCAGTATTGGTGACATAAAATCCCTCCATCGACCCTTGGCCAGTCGATGCTGGCTGAGTTGCTAAGTTGAGTGGCTGAGTTGCCGCTGGCCGAACACATCCTCGGTCTGGACGGGCTGCAAGTTCCGAGTGTTCCACGGGAGCTGGCACAACTGGCGCAGTGGGCGAGCGATCCCCGAGGACGGTTAGTTCGGTGCTGGGCAGACGATTTCATCCGCCGAAAATCAGATGAGAATGCTCGCGTCCCGGTGCTTAATGTAAAATAAAAAATTGCGTCCCGGTGAAAATAGGCCTGAGGATGACAAAAGCTCCAACAGTGAAAAACGCACAGCGCGGGATGTCTGGCTATTAGGGAACCGAACAATGCGCAACTTTTTCCACCGCCATATTTGTTATTTGTTAAATACCCAGCACATGCACCGGGGGTGTGCCCATGCCTTTTCCCTTTCAATGTGGACTCATCCGGCCACTCTATTCACTTTAGAACTGGACTGGCACAGATTGAGGTAGAGTGCTCATACGTTAGTATGAGAGGCCTGCACTGTCCCACGGATCCTCAATCGATGCAGCGACCCTCTGACTGGCATTGAAGGTCACGACCCAACGGACAGGTTGTGTTCTTATTGTGACCTACGCGTAGTCCTTTTCCCCCTATGGCCTCTTCAGCCTTCCAATCGGG